GCCAACTTTGTAATCTGTTTCCCTTTTTCGGGTATGGCAGGTTTGAGTGCCGTACGATTTTTTGCTTCTTTCTTCCCCTTTCTTCCCAACAAACTTTCCATGGGGTTAATATCACTGCTCTGGGGTGGTATATACATATATGACGCGATCGCAATAATCTATCGGGTGATAAATCATCGCCACAACGGCTCCGAAGAGCTTTTTCACCTTGACTAAAGAAAGCATTTTTTTCATCTGAGCAACTCTTGATGTGCACTTATAGTATGTCAAAATATAAAGTTTTTATATACATACATTTTTATATATTTCTTCCGTGTATATATTTCAATTAATTAAAAAAATATTTTTTTCTGAAAAATCTCCTATTTTTAAGCAAACTTTGTGGTCTGTAGCGACAGTCATGCCAGCATTACTGTTTTCCTAACAGCGACCAGCTTGATAATTGTATCATAGAATGATTTTTACGTGATAGGTGCCAGACCCATCACACTGAGAGATTTTGGGTTTTTCACAGAAGGGTGATTTTTAAGCATCCGGACATAATAAAGACTGAACAAGTTAAAGGCTTGCCATTATGTTGTAAACATGATTTCGGGTAAGAGACCGCAACAGCTGGCTTGAATAAACTCTAGCCGCGCTGAATATTTTCTGCTGAGACGTCAATCATCTCAGCCTTAACTGCGTGAAGAAGTGTCTTCACATAAGCGATCGGTGTTAAATCTACACGTTCTAGGAGATAATGCGTTCACCAAAAGTTTCCTAAAAAATGTATTGTTTCATTCAAAGGCCGACTATATCAACATCCTCCAAAGAAACGACAAGCCAAACTGAAAGGGAAAACTGTCAAAAATATCAACTTCGAAAAAAGTAACGCCCCATTGAAAAGTACACCCCTAAAAATTACTCATTTACACATATTGTGGGCCGCTTCTTTCAAGCCCCAAGTTGGTGTTTCCGCAGATTAGCAACGAATTTCTTTTAAAACTTCTATGCTATCTTCTCATAGATCAGATCCTATAGTACATATGAGTATACGAAAAGTAGTACATGCAGAGTTGTGAAATACTTTTTAATAATCTAATCTAACGAAAATGAAATTACCGTGAGGTAAACAACGTCTCATTAACATTAGTATCCTTCAAACAAAAAAATCGGAACTAAAAGTAGGTAAAATGGCAGAGATATATTTATAAACAATAAAGTTTCGCTATTTTAAGATAACGTGCATATTTTGATAACCAATTAGTTTCAATTCTTGTATGTTGTGTTTTGTTTTTGAAAGTTTTCGCGGCTGCAGACTCGTACATATATACATATATACATTTTACCGTGTTAGTTACTAACAGCAAAGTGGCAGCAAATGAAGGGTCGGAGTTTTTATATGCAATAGTCAAGTGCTCGGCGGTGAGTTCTTCCATGTGGTGGTACATGAGGTCGCACCTTGGCCAGACTAACAAACATAGAAAATAATTTTGTTTTGGTGTTCGCTCTCGGTCGGGAATGAAAACCCATCCCAATGTATTGCTCGCTTTTAAGGAAAAACATTAAAACGCCTACAAAAGGAGGAGGGAATCGGTTCACTTACACTTTAGACCTGCGGTAATATGTATATTTGTATATAATTGACATTTTATAATTGCAGAAGCGATTTCTGGCGACGTTTTTCAAATAAATATAGGGATCTCCACTTTATTCTAAGCCGCCTCGGAACGGCCGATGCATTTTTATTTGAATCTTTTATTTCATTCCACAAATACATACCCTCGGAACGGTTGACTTTCGCGGCCGATGGTCGATCGCAATCAGAAAAATTAACTTATTATTTTATTTAGTTAATTTTCCATATAATTCTTGGGTGTTGTTCGGACTAGGATTCGAACTTATGACTTTCCGCATGGTAGTATATAATATATTGCTAACCCTCCATTACTGCGGCCGAAAAAACAAAAAATTGATCTATCAGAAACTTGACAGAAACCAGAGACAATACTTAAAAACGCTCTCCTGAATTATTTCCCATACGTTCATATAACAGTGAAATGCAAAATATTTCTGAGAAATTCAGAAAGTCAAATGTAAGAATCGAATGAGGATAACTTGGGATTTCACTGATTCTACTAAAACAAGAAAAATATGAGAAATGCTGTATTTTACCTTTGGAGTCAAGCGGATGAGTCATAGACTAGACAAAAATCCCCTTCATATTATTTATAAGTGGCATTTTTATATGAAACATTAATTATTTATGAAACTACTAGACATCTAGATATGTACAATTGACGTAGGAGTTGCCCATGAATATATGTATATGCAAATATCATACAACTTATACAACGGAAAATGTAATTTACGATTTACGTTTTACGAATTACTATTAATATTTTACAAAGATCTACAATAGTATCGGCACAGAAACGCTCTTGATTATATATTACTTCCAGTTTATAATAAGTAAAATATTTATATATATTTTTGCAAACATACCTAATTGTATAACGTACAAACATATGCCCACTTTCATTTATCTTATATTGTAAATGTGTACATATGTAAGCTTTATCTACTTCATTAATCGAGCTTTCAAAGCATTGGAGCCGGTTTATTTTGCCAAGAATTTATATTCTGAAGAATGCCGGAACTAAACAATTTTAGAAAAAGTGTCGGCAGACGTGTAACCACCATGAAACTAGTTAATGCAGTGGGACTGCACTCATTTAGATTTCTGAAAATAAATGTCCGTAAACATATACGAGTAATGAAACTGATTCCATAAAAATCGTATATTTCAAAATTATTCTACAACTCTGCCATCCCATTCAAAGTAGTTTCCTTGGGCAGCTTATCAACGATTCCAGCGTGTTTTCCATGCTTCGTAACATTTCTGAAACGCTTCGACTGTGATGTCCGCGAGTACGCTCACCACGGCCGCCTGGATGTCCTCAATCTACCCAAAATGGGTACCTTTGACCACCGATTTTGTTCTAGGAAACAAGAAAAGTCACAGGGCGAATAAGTCGGTTGTTGCAACACGGCGATCTCTTTAGAGATCAAATACTGGGACACGCTGAGGGCGGTGTGGCGCGGCACGTTTATCCTGATGAAGGATCCAGTTACGAGCGATGTCTGGGTGTACCCTTTCAAGTACTTGGCGATAGTAGACTCCATTTACGGTTTGCTTCGGTGAAAAAAATTCTTAGTGGGCGATTCCACGGCTGTCAAAAAAAGTCAACAATCATCGTTTTTACCTTCGACTTGCCGTTTCGCCCAACTTGGCGCAAAATTTTATCACGACGCGTTGCTCTTGATTTCGTTTTTCCATTTTAATAACGAGCACCACGAAAACACGTTTACTTAACACGACACAAGAGGCGAACTAAACAAGCTAGAGCGATGGCAAATATATCAATGGAGAGGAGAAATGGAAGGGAATTTCAAGGTCGCAGGGTTACCACAATCGCGGCAATAGAATCAGTGTCATTACTTTATTGTCACACCTCGTACACACATATATATATATATATAGTTATACATTTTACTTGTCTTCAAATTTCTGTGAAAGGATTTGCGTTTCTCAAAGAAGAGTTTTCATAAATTATTGTGAAATAAATTAATTTCGAGAAATTGAAATTAAATTTCCATAAAAATTGTTTATACTACGTGTAACGCTTATTTGTATTGGCTGTAAATTAATAAGTATTTGCAAAGGATTTGGTATTTTCAGATTTAACAAAAACAAATTGATAGTCACCAACTGCCCGAACTATTGTTAATACCCCCCTACATAGAGTATACGAGTACATATGTACAGTACTGTACGTATGTATTATATGTATACAATATTTATTGCTTGAATCAATGCAAATTTGAGCATCTTAATAATCAGCTTGTAGGACCCAAAAACGTAATCCAGTGACTCATGCCCAGGGTATACTGGGTAACAAAGCAGCGGTGGCCAATCTATTGCGGTGGAGTTATTCAAACACACGGTGGCGAAGAACTGACTGATACGGCGCCCTTCTTCGAATGAAAGCATGCCCTACGATTGAAACCGGAGTGTGCTCTACCCAATGCGCAGCGTTGGATCTGGTAAATCCAAATATTTACCTTTGGAAAAGGACCGTTAAAAGAGAATCGACATACACCACCTCTTTGTACATTTCAAAACAGCCTTCGACAGCACGAAGGGGAGCTGCCTCTCCGCCGCTATGTTTGAATTCGGTATGACTGCAAAACTCATACGGCTGTACACACCAAAAGTTCCATTAGAAACGGAAAGGACCTCTCTGAGTTTTTTGCTGCCAAACGACGAATCAGACGAGGTGACTCTTAATCGTGTAGCTTCTTTGAAAGTTTTCGATACAGTACTCGTCGGTAGAAGCAGAGAAAGAAGAAGTTTTACAGTTTATGGGAAAGACCATTTGGAGAAAGGCCTCGGTGTTTCCAATGGACACCAAACAGCGAAAAAAATGAATGAATGACGCGCAGTAGTTGACTCGGCTATAACGGTGTAAGTTGCGTTTACGCTAGTATGAAAGAACACCTTAAATAGGCAACTCAAAACCCTGAAAAAGAGTACTTGAACTTACGTCATAACGTAAAAGTTGATTTTTTTATATGCTATTTATTTTAATTTCTTCACAATGTAAGGAGTTTTTGTATGCTTCCTTGATATTAAAAATGAAAGACATTACTCCAAAGCATGCCTAAATAAGGGCAATCTTTTTTTCGGTTCGTTCTTAATGTAAATAACTTGAGTTTCTATTTCCGACCGGCTCAAGACAGGGAATAACAACCCCGAGTGTATTTTTGTTATGAAATATTAGGCTCCATGCAAAAATCCATCAGCCGCTTGGAGACGCACAGTACAAAGGAGACATGAAGCTTGGCCAAAAATCGCTTCGGCTCCGATTATATATGTATAATATGTTTTTTCTTCGACTATGAATTAAGTTCTTATCCGTGGAGCATGTAAAAAAATAATATTTTCTTTATGTTTTCAGCGAAACAGCTTTCCAACACAATGGAGTCACCTCACGAAAATCCAGCTTTCATTGGAGATGATGGAAAATCTGCAAATGGCCACCCTAGATTGCCCCGAAATTCAGATGAAGAGGCGGTAAGTAGAGAGAGTGGTTCGAAAACTGATCACATAATTAAATCTTACTATGTTCATATATACTTATATTCACTTATTGCCTTCATATTTCATAAACACAACACAGTCACAGACCCTGCCGCAGAAAGAGGGTATTGAGAAAGAGCGCGCAACGTGGGGCAAAGGCGTTGAGTTTCTTTTCTCATGTATTGCGATGTCCGTGGGTCTGGGTAATGTTTGGCGCTTCCCCTTTACAGCGCTGGATAATGGCGGAGGAGCGTTCTTGATACCTTATTTAATAGTATTATTCTTAATCGGAAAACCAATTTATTATTTGGAAATGGCAATTGGACAGTTCTCGAGTTGCGGATCGGTAAAAGTATTTAATTTGTGTCCAGCTATGAAAGGTATGTAAAAGAAAAAGTAAAACATGAAATGAATTATTTATTCATCTTTATATTACATTCATACCTACATACATTCACATTAAGTATCATTTAAAGATCAAGCGGTATGCATCTCATTAAAAATAATCAAAGAAGTAAGTGCAATATTTGCGCCATAAATAAAAAGAAATTGGAAATTTTTAGTTATATTTTAGCAATACATTTGATTATCATGCTCGCATACATACATACACACATATGGATGTATTTTATATTAATCAAAACTTCTAACTTGTGTTCTCATTTCAATTTGCTGCTGTCCTCTCACTCGTTTATATATGTACATTATAACCCATATATCCACGTTTATACCAACAATTGTGAATGTGCACGTGTATGGCGATCTCAAAGGTATTGGCATTGGTCAAGTATTGTCCATTTCGTTTGTGACCACTTACTATGTTGCCATAATGGGCATGATTGTACGTTATTTATTTGATTCATTCAAATCACCGTTACCTTGGACAGTTTGCGATGATGCATGGAATGAGACATGTGTTGCATCCGGCACAACACCCACCCCAGAGCCCATTATCGAATTATCAACAGGTGTACCATTTGTAGACAATACTCCGACTACAGTTGCCAACTTTAGTGGAGCATCGAAGACCGTTTCATCTGCAGAGTTGTATTTTCTGTAAGTTTAATGTTTACTCGTTTTGTACTCTATTTACTAATATCGGAAACTATACTAATATGTACTAAGGACAAGATTGACATCAGTCACTAAAAAAACACAAATTCATTTTTGTTGTGCTTGAAAAATACTTGCAAATAATATCACAATATATACATACATACATACATACATACACACATTTTGTACATACATACATACATATAAATAATGCATTTTATTGAGAGAGTTACAATTGAGTCCCAATTACCCTATCCAGATTTCTGATGCTGATTTTATAGTTATTGCGTGAGACAAACATAAATCAAGTCAATTAAATTAGTCAATAAAATTTTCTACAGTTCGACTCGCTCGCACATCATATATCGTATGCATACATATTTGTTGTAATAAATGAAAACAAATGAAAGTGGCTTAATATCGAGCATAGTATATTTGGAAATATATAAAATTATTTTATTAAAATAAAAAAAAAATAATCATTTCCGCTTTTAATGTTAAAAGTACTTACAATGAATTTTTTTTTTTTTTCAAAAGAGAGCTTGGCACAAACTTTCATTTGTTACAGCTGATATTTATCGATCGGGAGCAGATATTCATACCTCAGTCTTGTTTTGATAATTTTGAAAGTATATTACACATACATATACCTACATACATACACACATATTTACTGTAACTACAATCGTGTAATACGAGTACATTATATTATATAAAGCTTGGTATACTTGTTTGTGCAGCATACGAGATTTGTGGTTTCAGTGAAATTTTGCATGTTTTATTATTTCAAAATCGCATAATTATGTACGGCTTATCACTTTTTTTTAGAATATACGTAATAGTACGTAATATAACCATTTTCAATTCAAAATGAACTGAGTATTTTTATGCTACTTATAGAGACCGTATTACCCAAGTGGTTAGCAGTACGTGTTCGAGCCTAGTCCCGTCCAATATTCAATAGTTTTGAAAGTTAATATTAATAAAAAAAAATAAGTAAATTTTTTCCCCTCGACTGAGAAATAACAAGGTCATCCAAATTTGAGGGTTAGTTTGGCCGAAATTCCTTTCAACGGCTGTAATTTCCATTTATAAAAAAATAGCTATATATTGTATATTAAACGTATATATATTAAACGTGATCGATTATCTTCCATTTGGTCCTATTCGGAAGGCTCGGGTTCAGGTCGTGGTGTCGTACTAACATCCAAAAATTTATAGGAAATTAAATTAAATAAGAAATTAAGCTAAATTTTCTAATTGCGGTCGCCTCTCGGCAGGAAATGTCCACGCCTCCGAGTGTATATCGGACATGAAATAAAGTTTCTAATAAAAGAACCATCAGCCGTTCGGCGGTGGCCTAGTATAAATTGTAGGACCCTCGGAGGATCTCGGCCGAAAATCGCTTTAGCGGTTACAAAGCGTCAATTATACATATACATGCATAAAAATAAACCGTCTCAGAATGTCTACTTGTATGTAAGTGTGAATAAATATTTTTCATGGCAGAAATACGATCGGAAACCTTGATATGGGAAAAACTTGAAATCGTAGGTCTGACAGCTCGAGTTTGCTCTTTATTGAAACAAAAGATGAAATCTTTCAAATCTGCACATAGTTTTGTCTCGCATAGACGTTTTTTGGTACAAATTTTATAACACCACTTACAAGTTCGTTATTACCCAAATAAAAAAGCTGGTGAAGGGTGGTGAATCCCTCAATAGCAGTCAACCAATAATCAACATTCTTAAAAAATATTTTATTTCTGCCTTTGTATGTATGTATAAACGCTTTTTCTGTGAATAACATCGATTTCTTGACATTCTTACTCATCAATATTTTACCTCATTATAAAATGCTTTTGACCCTTCAAATACCCATGATGTTGTTAAATGTTAAACATTAATTTAACACCCTTGGCCGACACCATTATTACTATTATTTCGATTTCATCGAAGCTGTTTTTTCTTGAAACTTTTCCTTTTTATTGACATCCAACTCATTCAACTCTGAAGAATTCTCGCTAATTAGGCATGTTTCACCATATATACATTCAGTACTCTAATTTTGCAATATTCACGACTGAAGTGACTAGATCAGCCCAATATTATCACACCAAAAGATAGAGTTGGAAAGCAAAAAACTAATTAGCTTTAGGAAAAGCCTGTAAAGACATGCTAATTTTGTGTGGGTATTGATGAAATGTTTTTTTTAGATACGCTCGTACATACACGGTGTGTCCCAAAAATAACCGAACTTTTTGGATATAAAATTAAATACACATTACACATATTGTCTTTGAAAGTTATTATTTATTCAAAATAGGTTCTATTTGACTCAACACAACGTTTGGAACGATCAACCAGCGCAAGCATAGATTTTTTTTATGTCATTTATAGAAATGTTCTTGAGTACCTCGGTTACGGCTGCTTGAATGGCTGGGATATCATCATAAAATGCTCCCTTCATCTTGGTTTTCAGTTTTGGAAATAAGAAATAGTCACATGGTGATAGATCAGGCGAATACGGAGGATGGTCGATGAGAGAAATCCCTTTTTTCATTAAAAATTCGAGCGATTTTTTGGTCGTCATTTAATTCATGTGGAACAAATCGCGCACGGACTTTTCTTTTCCCCAAATCTTCAGCTAAAATTCTCTAAGTAGTGTTTTTACTCGTATTCAATTCCTCAGCCAACATTCTCGTAGTAAAATTCGCATCGATACCAATAGTTTCACGGACTTTTTCCACCAGTTCAGCACGATTACTAGTTTCTGGACGTCCTGCTCTAGGGTCGTCATTTAAATCCTTAAGACCATTTTTAAATCGTGTAAACCAAGTATAAACTTGCGTGCGACTCATACAATCATCACAATAAACTTTTATCATTAATTTTTTTTCAAGTTTGACACAAAGTTTTATATTTGCTCTTTGTTCCATTTTATTTTTGGACCATTAGCACACTTTTGGTTTTATTGAAATGGCTGTCACTTTTACATCTGTCATCCGACTTACATGATGTTAGGTGCGTTTGAAAGAGGATGAATGTATCTTTTTAATGTTGAAAAATTTTCAATAGACTGCGCTGTATGTTGTATGATTTAAATTTAAAGTTCGGTTATTTTTGGGACACACCGTGAATGTATTTACATATTCAAATGTACATTTACGAGTATAGTATGCTTATTTTGTAAAATAAGTAACTGAAGACAATAAATTACTTGGTTGGTTGGATTCTAGCATTATAGTGCATTATTTAAACATGTCCAGCATCCAACATGTAGATATGTACCTACATATGTAAACACTTATCAATATACATTTATATTATATGCCATAGAGAAAAGTAAACGTATGCAAATGCTTATTGTCTCAAGTGACAGTATTTATTCAGTGATTGCCTGAAAATTAGTTTGTAAACAAAATTCAATTCAATCTAAATTGAAACAGTGTAATGCATGCTTTATATGGTTACATCTCTAAGTATGTAGTGTCGCGTACTATTTTTTTATTTTATTTTTTTTTTAATAGTTTAGCGTTACTTTATTGCTTGAAAAGAGTTCTCAAGATTGGAATAATTATTTGGCCAGCTTATTAGCTTTATCGCCATCGCAAATTATAATTTATTAGTTATTATAGATAGATTTAGTTGTATGTCTTTCAAGAAGTTAGTGAAACTAACGTCGATTAGTGATGAGTGGTTTGTTAAAGGTGGGTGTTTGTATACTTCGGGCATTGGAAAATTATGTGGTCTGTGTTTTCTGGTACGTGGCAGTTTTCGCAAATATTGTCAGTGATTATGTTCATCCTTTGTAGTGTGTCTTTGCAGAAGGTGTGGTTCGTAAAGATTCTGTTTACTTGTTTTATTTCTGTTGGTTTTAATCCAGAGCTGTTTTTGTGGAACCAAGGTTTGTTAGTTGGCTCCGGGAATATTCGTCCTTTTTTTTTCCTTTGTTCACAATTTTGGATTTGTATTCTTGTTCCCAGTCTTTTTGTATTTTCTTCAAAATTTCGTTTATGGCGTCTTTTACTGTCCATAATATTCTTATTGGCTCTCCGCATTGGGTGTCAGTTTTGGCTGCCGTATCTGCTTTTTCGTTAGGTTTGATAGCGCTGTGCGCTGGTATGTGGTGTAGTTCTACTTTTAAGACTGATGACGATTTGATGGTTTCCATAATGTTTCTGGCTATGTATTTATTGTTGTCGATATTTTTGAGTGTTAGGATACCACTCAGGCTGTCCGTTAGTATTGCTGAATTGTTTTTCTATGGCGAAATCTATGGCTTTTTCAACGGCTGTCATTGAGGCTACATTTTTGTTAGAGAA